CTTGAAGGTAATTTGTCCAACTCTGTGCATAGTGGATCCCCAACAGATAAACATCCAGTCTCTGCTTAAATTCTTATAGTAAAGGAAAGACACACCCTCCCACCCAAGTCTGTTCCCCTATTGAGCAATCCTAACCACTAAGACTTTTTTAATGAAATATAATGAAATTTATTTTCTTGTCATTTGAAGCCATTGCTGAATATCCTGGAAAAACTCTGTACAATTTTGCCCATCTTCTACATGAGAGTCTTTCAAATATTTGAATATAAGCTACCATATTTCTCAGTAATGTTCTGTTCTCCATGTTAAATATGCATAAGAATTCCAACTGTTCCACACAAGTGCTTCAATCTAAGCCTCTTATCAACTTTGTTGTTCCCGTATAGACAAAAACCTGTTTGTCAGTGTCCTTCTTAAAAGATAATGCTATACTGGGTGCAATACTTAGTGTCTGATCCAACTAATATATAATTTAAATTTACTTCATTTTTTTGCATAGTATTTTTAATCCAAGAAGTAGTAGTGACTTCCCTCCTATGTTTCATCTCCATTTAATTTTCCAGTCAGTGTCTTCCTATTGACTGGAATAATGAAAACTGATCCCCTTGTGTACCCATGCAAAATGATCTTCTTATTCTATATATTCTTCTTCTCAAAAGTTCTACAACCTGATTCAGAAATGAATTATTCTGCTAGAATTGGGAGTCTATACTATTATTATTATTGTTGTTGTTGTTGTTGTTATTGTTATAATATATACATCTAATATTTGAGGGACCACCTCTTCCGGATTGTCTGTCCTCCAGATACAGCAACGCATACTATGGGAGTGAAATTAAGGAGTTTCATTTAGTGGGTCCCTAGGCAGCATGCCTTTTCTACTGTATCCTGTTTTATAGAACATTCTTCCAACTGAACTGAGGCTGACCTCACTCTTTACCTTACTGGGAGTCCCTCTGTTTGTTTTTGAAGGTGTTGGGATCTCAGGGGACTGGCAAAATATTGAGATTCCTGTTGGTTAATTAATTCCTCCTGTTCACCTAATTTATTTATTCTGTTTTAGCTCTTTTTTATAATGTAAAGTTTCTAATATTCATAATATTAACTCGTATATTTTTAAATTTGTTATATGCTGCTCAAAGTCACTTGATTATGAGTCAGACATCTACATAAATATAAATGGAAGGAAGGAAGGAAGGAAGGAAGGAAGGAAGGAAGGAAGGAAGGA